TGACGTCGATATTCGAGGTCAAACACGATCAACTTTGGTGTTTATGACGTCGATATTCGACGTCATAAACACGATCAACTTTGGTGTTTATGACGTCGATATTCGACGTCATAAACACGATCAACTTTGGTGTTTATGACGTCGATATCGAGGTCAAACACGATCAACTTTGGTGTTTATGACGTCGATATTCGACGTCATAAACACGATCAACTTTGGTGTTTATGACGTCGATATTCGACGTCATAAACACGATCAACTTTGATGTTTATGACGTCGATATTCGAGGTCAAACACGATCAACTTTGGTGTTTATGACGTCGATATTCGACGTCATAAACACGAACAACTTTGGTGTTTATGACGTCGATATTCGACGTCATAAACACGATCAACTTTGGTGTTTATGACGTCGATATTCGAGGTCAAACACGATCAACTTTGGTGTTTATGACGTCGATATTCGACGTCATAAACACGAACAACTTTGGTATTTATGACGTCGATATTCGACGTCATAAACACGGTCAACTTTGGTGTTTATGACGTCGATATTCGACGTCATAAACACGATCAACTTTGATGTTTATGACGTCGATATTCGACGTCAAACACGAACAACTTTGGTGTTTATGACGGCGATATTCGACGTCATAAACACGAACAACTTTGGTGTTTATGACGTCGATATTCGACGTCATAAACACGAACAACTTTGGTGTTTATGACGTCGATATTCGACGTCATAAACACGAACAACTTTGGTGTTTATGACGTCGATATTCGACGTCATAAACACGAACAACTTTAGTGTTTATGACGTCGATATTCGACGTCATAAACACGAACAACTTTGGTGTTTGTGACGTCGGTATTCGACGTCATAAACACGAACAACTTTGGTGTTTATGACGTCGATATTCGACGTCATAAACACGAACAACTTTGGTGTTTATGACGTCAATATTCGACGTCATAAACATGAACAACTTTAGTGTTTATGACGTCGATATTCGACGTCATAAACACGAACAACTTTGGTGTTTATGACGTCGATATTCGACGTCATAAACACGATCAACTTTGGTGTTTATGACGTCGATATTCGACGTCATAAACACAAACAACTTTGGTGTTTATGACGTCGATATTCGACGTCATAAACACGATCAACTTTGATGTTTATGACGTCGATATTCGAGGTCAAACACGATCAACTTTGGTGTTTATGACGTCGTTATTCGACGTCATAAACACGAACAACTTTGGTGTTTATGACGTCGATATTCGACGTCATAAACACGAACAACTTTAGTGTTTATGACGTCGATATTCGACGTCATAAACTCGAACAACTTTGGTTTTTATGACGTCGATATTCGACGTCATAAACACGAACAACTTTGGTGTTTATGACGTCGATATTCGACGTCATAAACACGAACAACTTTGGTGTTTATGACGTCGATATTCGACGTCATAAACACGAACAACTTTGGTGTTTATGACGTCGATATTCGACGTCATAAACACGAACAACTTTGGTGTTTATGACGTCGATATTCGACGTCATAAACACGAACAACTTTGGTGTTTATGACGTCGATATTCGACGTCATAAACACGAACAACTTTGGTGTTTATGACGTCGATATTCGACGTCATAAACACGAACAACTTTGGTGTTTATGACGTCGATATTCGACGTCATAAACACGATCAACTTTGGTGTTTATGACGTCGATATTCGACGTCATAAACACGATCAACTTTGGTGTTTATGACGTCGATATTCGACGTCAAACACGAACAGCTTTGGTGTTTATGACGTCGATATTCGACGTCATATAGTAACTAAACCGGAGGATTGAAATGTATTTTCCTTGAATGCCGTGCCTAATGAGAGTTCCTCGAATAATTTATCTAATCTCAATTTTGAAACAACTATAGCCGATAGCAACAATTTGAATACGAAATCGATACCATTCTTTCCCGCAAAGCGTGGTTTCAAACTAGCTTCTTTAAATATAGCTAGTTTGATAAAACATATAGATGAACTGAGAATTCTGCTTGTCAATTATCCAGTAGATATCCTCTCAGTCAACGAAACTAAACTTGATAATTCGATTAATGATTGCGAAATACATATCCCTGGGTATGAAGTACTTCGCCGAGATAGAGACCGACATGGTGGAGGTGTTTGTTTCTATATTAGAACCACTATTAATTTTTCAATACGTGAGGATTTAAAGTTTAAAAATTTGGAAAATTTATGTGTTGGAATTCGAAAACCTCAATCCAAACCGTTTGTTGTTGTCAACTGGTATAGACCACCCAATTCTCCTGTTGAGTTATTTACTTCTTTTGAGTCCCTTATCGGACGACTTGATGCAGAAAATATCGAGTTTTATTTAATGGGTGATTTTAACTGCAATTTAGCTAACGATAGTACTCAGTATGACAACAATACCCATCTGCTGTCGAGTATTACCGATACATATGGTCTTCAGCAGTTAATCAATGAGCCTACCCGTATTACCAAAACAACTTCCACCTTGATCGATCTAATTTACACTAACTATCCAGACAGGGTAGTTTGTTCAGGAGTTTCGCATTGCGGTATAAGTGACCATAGCCTAATCTATGTCTACCGCAAATTATCTTTAAATACTGTATCTAGTAAAGGAAATAACTACATTACCTATAGAAATTTTAAGAAGTTTAATCGAGAAAACTTCCGTAGTGATATTTCATCTCAAGACTGGAGTTACAATTTATCTAACACTCAAGACCCTAATCTAATGTGGGCTGAATGGAAAAGTAAATTTTTAACTATAGCAGATAAACATGCTCCAATACGTACTAAGCGTATTCGATTGAAGAACTCTCCATGGATAACATCTGATTTAAAAAAAACGTATGCATGATCGTGACATAGCCAAAATAAGAGCTATACACTCTACTGTCCCTGGTGATTGGGAGAATTTTAGAAGATTACGAAATATTGTAAATAAGGAAATTAAACTCGCTAAAGAGTCTTATTATAAAAATGCATTTATGCAGCACAGTGGCAATTCTCGAAAGACATGGCAGATTGTCAATGACCTGACCTCGCGTAAATCAAAAAGAACATCTGTCAGGGAATTAAATTTGAATGGTAATTCTATATCTAACCCATCAGATTTATCTAATGCATTTAATGAGCATTTTTCGACAATAGGACCTAAACTTGCTAGTGGAATTCCAGTAAGCAGTAATCATACGAGTTACACTGATTATCTCATTAACACTGACAAAAGGTTTCAATTCACGCAAACTAACAATGATCAAGTATTTTCAGTGTTAAGCAAACTATGCAAATCAAAAGCAACCGGTCTTGATCAGATCTCAGCCAGACTTGTTCGAGAATGTGCTGATCTTATTTCTAGTTCCATAACCAATATTTTTAATCTTTCATTATTATTGGGTACATTTCCTGAAGATTGGAAATGTGCCAAAGTTACTCCAATCTTTAAACAAGGTACACGGAATGAAATGAATAACTACCGCCCAATTTCTGTGATTTCAGTAATGGCTAAGGCCTTTGAACGAATAATCTATAATCAACTTTATGCATACATGTTAGAACATGATTTGCTATCCGAACACCAGTCGGGGTTTCGTTCTTTACATTCAACGGCTACGGCTTTACTTGAGGCCACTGATAGTTGGTCTTACAATATTGACCGCGGCAATATTAATGCCGTGGTATTTCTAGACCTGAAAAAGGCTTTCGATACGGTCAACCATGAGATCTTGTTGTCTAAACTCAGAAACTATGGAATTCACGGAGTTGCCTACAAATGGTTTAAGTCATATTTGGAGGACCGTAGGCAGAAATGTTTTGTTAACGGGTCACTTTCAAAAAAATGTAGTCTTAAGTGTGGAATTCCTCAAGGAACGATCCTAGGACCGCTCCTGTTTCTGGTATTTATTAATGATTTACCAAATTGTTTATCTAATTCTCATATCTATGTTCTCATCCCAGAATGTATGCAGATGACACTAATCTTACATATTCTGGTAGCGATACAAACACTATTCAATTTCATCTTAACGAAGACTTGGAAAACATTAATGAATGGTTAATATCAAATAAACTTACTTTAAATATGACTAAAACTGAGTACATGTTAATTGGGTCGAGACAACGTTTAAGTACTCTTTCTGACAATCCTTCTTTTGAAATAAATGGAATTCCTTTAGATCGAGTTTCGACAACAAAATCACTTGGTGTCTTATTAGACGAAAATCTTACTTGGAGTAGTCAAATCAATAAAATGACAAAACGAATTGCTTCTGGTATCGGTGCTATTAAGCGGTTAAGGTCATTTGTTTCATTGGAAACATTGCATGTTATTTACCAAGCTCTAATACAACCACATTTTGATTATTGTAATGTCGTGTGGGGAAATTGTGGGAAAACTTTATCTAACAAACTTCAAAAACTTCAAAACCGTGCAATGCGGGTGTTGACCTTTTCCAACTTTGACGCCGATGCCAATAGCTTATTGGAAAAGCTAGGGTGGGATGATCTAAACCAACAACGCCAATTTCAAAAAGCATTGATGGTTTTCAAATCTTTAAATAACCTTGCACCCGAATATCTATGTTCTAAATTTACTAATCGCAATAATGTAACTTCTTATATACTTCGAGACTCCGTGAACAAACTTGCTGCTCCTTTACCCCGCACCAATTATCTTAAAAATAGCTTTAGCTATAGTGGTGCAGTGTTATGGAACAGCTTACCTAGCAATATAAGACAAGCGGAATCTCTTACTGAATTTCGACAATTGTTGAAACATCATATTCGATAGACACGGCATTCATGGAAAACAGGTATAAATATTAATGTAATATAGGCGTGAAAAATTTTTTAAACTTATTAATGTATAAATAACTTTTTTGTAAACCTGATGAAGCTACCGTGCTTAAATAAAGATTTGACTGACTGACTGACTGATCAACTTTGGTGTTTATGACGTCGATATTCGACGTCATAAACACGAACAACTTTGGTGTTTATGACGTCGATATTCGACGTCATAAACACGAACAACTTTGTGTTTATGACGTCGATATTCGACGTCATAAACACGATCAACTTTGGTGTTTATGACGTCGATATTCGACGTCATAAACACGATCAACTTTGGTGTTTATGACGTCAATATTCGACGTCATAAACACCAACAAGTTTGGTGTTTATGACGTCGGTATTCGACGTCATAAACACGATCAACTTTGGTGTTTATGACGTCGATATTCGACGTCATAAACACGATCAACTTTGGTGTTTATGACGTCGATATTCGACGTCATAAACACGATCAACTTTGGTGTTTATGACGTCGATATTCGACGTCATAAACACGATCAACTTTGGTGTTTATGACGTCGATATTCGACGTCATAAACACGATCAACTTTGGTGTTTATGACGTCGATATTCGACGTCATAAACACGAACAACTTTTGTGTTTATGACGTCGATATTCGACGTCATAAACACGATCAACTTTGGTGTTTATAACGTCGATATTCGACGTCATAAACACGATCAACTTTGGTGTTTATGACGTCGATATTCGACGTCATAAACACGATCAACTTTGGTGTTTATGACGTCGATATTCGACGTCATAAACACGATCAACATTGGTGTTTATAACGTCGATATTCGACGTCATAAACACGATCAACTTTGGTGTTTAGGACGTCGATATTCGACGTCATAAACACGAACAACTTTGGTGTTTATGACGTCGATATTCGACGTCATAAACACGAACAACTTGGGTGTTTATGACGTCGATATTCGACGTCATAAACACGATCAACTTTGGTGTTTATGACGTCGATATTCGACGATGACAACTTAGATGTTTATGACGTTGATATTCAACGTCATAAACATTCAACTTAGATGTTTATGACGTTGAATATGTTCGGCATAAGCATTCCCAACTGAGGTGTCCGGCGCTTATAATATACCACGGGCCGCATGAATCTTTAATCCGACCTTAGATGAAAATCAGAATAAGCATTCGACTTAGATGTTTATGCCGTTGAATATTTTTATGCCTTCTTTGGGGGCCAAGGTCGCCGTTATTATGTGCGGCAACATTGTGAGACATTAGGCGACATTAGCAATATTATTCCTGGTTTAATGTTCTTGTTTCCTTGATGTTTAGATACGGATCAGGGACGCTGACCAAGGTGTTTGTTGATCGGGTTTTTCAGGAGTGTTTGACCTACGATGGAGAAATGGTAGGCTGCTCTTATTGTATTGTGTATTCAATATACACGTCATAATTTGTATTAAAGTTATTTGGAAATGAGAGATAAAGCTGTTGTCCTTCCTTACAGGATTACAAGACATACTTAGACTTCGTTCTGGCTTTGGAAAACCGAAAAGAAACGCAGGTGAATACTTTTTTCATCCATATAGGGAAGGGTGAATGACAGATCACTGACCAATGTTAAATTCAGGTTATTCCATTACAATCATCCATAAAATTTCAAGTGCCTTCCCACCCCCCCGCGGAATGCATTAGCCCCGTACCACAGAAAAAAGATCAGTAACAGAAGGGCCACTCAGCAGTGCAACGTGTCCTCATTTTTTTATGCAAAAATGTGCTGTTTACTGGCCAGAAGGAGGGGCAGCCAGCCAGTACAGCGTGTTTATTGGCCAGAAAATGTCATTGATTGGCTAGGAAAATGGCGGCCAGCATGCGTAATGCGATATGCGCGAGGACAGAAACTTCAAAGCTTTCGACGTAAGTGGCCCTTCTGTATGGATCTTTATTCTGTGCTCGTACGCCTATGGCATCGTGGACTCAGTCAATAATTTTCGCGCACTTTTTGCTTCAAACTGGATTTTCGACATGCAGGGTCGTTTCCAGCCCGACGATTTAGTCCCGCTATGCAAATATTTTCGTGTTCATTGACTGTGAAAACAATCAATTTCGGAAGAAATTAATAATGATAATAATTTTGAATTTGCATAACGGGACTAAATGGACCATATGCATTATAGACTAAATTTTGATCTAGACAAAAATTTCATCACAGCTCGAAAGATCATCACAAAATTAGTAATATTCCAAAGTTTCGTTGCGAAATGTTGTAAAATACGGATAATATAGCCTTGCGAAGTTTGCAATTTTCAGTCATTTTGTATTATAAACGGGAAATTGATGCCCCAACACCCGATTGGGCTGTCCATTTCCCGTGCGTAATACAAAATGACTGAAAAACGGCAAACTTCGCATGGCTATATTATCCGCATTTTACAACATTTTGCAACGAAACTTTGGATTATTACTAATTTTGTGATGCTCTTTCAAGCTGTGATGAAATTTTTGTCTAGATCAAAATTTAGTCTATAATGCAAATGGTCCATTGCCGGCTGGCTACGCCACTGGTTTTATTTATATTTTATCTTCAACACGTTGAGTCGCAGCAGATCACATTAAAACAATTGTTTGTTTATTTTTCTAGTCATTGCAGTACTTATTTCGTATGCTTGATATTCAGAGCCTGGGTTATCTTAATAACTTTGCCTTTAACTATTTCTTTCGGGTGAGTGCATGATGTGACAATATTCTGGCTTTTTAGCCAGGGTGTCAAACTCGCTGTCCAAAAAATATTTTGGATGTGGTCAAAAAGCATGGTGCTTGAAATCAATTCTTATATGCACATAAAATATAAAACAACGGTAACTCTGAAAATAAACATTTTAATATTCTAGCTTTCGACTAAGATTCAGTCATCATCAGGAATGACACACACAAGACACACAATTCAATTTATGATACACATAATTCAGCGTCGTTTCGGCAATATAGTGTCAAAACGTATGCAGTATACATAAAGTAAGCAACAGCTGACAACATTTGAGGTATTCAAGGAATATCACAAAACTTGCAAGTTGGGCATGGTGGAAAAGGCGGAGTGCGGAGTCTGTCCAAGAATTGTTCATTTCGCCTAGATTCGATTTTAATGAGACTCCGCGTTTTCCACGTTATGGGGGCATAAAGTGGAAAACGCGGAGTCTGTCAAAAAAATGTTTATTTTTCCTAAAGATTTGATTTTAACCAGTCTCGTTAAAATCCAATGTAGGTGAAATCAACAATTTTTTGACAGACTCCGACTCCGTACTCCGTCTTTTCTACCATGCCTGCAAGTTGCTGTTTAAAAAAAACACATTTTCTCAGGCCGCACGTCACGGCCGCCTAGCCAAGTGCCTGCACAGTGTAACTTTGGTCCAGTTTTAATAACATGCAAGGTACAGCATTGTAATGTTTTCTGATTTAAATTTACGCAGGAAATACAAATGGAGATGCAAAAACATGGCCATGATCCCGTTCTATTTCACGATATTCAGGTGCGTGTAGTATCTCTCAGTACTTTACATAATGTAGTTCTGGTATGGTGTTATGTACTCAGGTGCATGAATATGATGTTTGTAATGTTACTCTGAGTTGGTAGAGCATTGGACTAATAGCACAAAGGTTTCCGGGTTCGATTCCCACCATGGGCAGGCAAACTTCTAAGCTTCCTCGGTGTGGATGCACACTCAGAGTAACATCAGAAACATCATACTGTTGTCCTGTTTTCTACTTCAAATTGTCGTAACGTACCGTTTTGTCAATAGTGAGGTTTAGAATTTGATTTCCACTACCTTCATACAAGTAGGAGACCATTTACTGTCGTTCCAATTGAAGTGTTGCTGAAATATTGATTCAATACATTACCCCGGGCTGACCAATTCATTTGATCAAGTTCCTCGAGATATTCATACACTTCCTGTGAAAGAGCCAATTCCAAGTATTTGATCATTTCTGATCACTTCCTTTCTATTTATGATTGGTCAGTTGCACAAACAACAAAGGTGATTGGTGCATTCAAACTATTCAACAGGAAGTTTACAATTATACTAGGAAGTGTATGAATATCTCGAGGAACTTGATGAAATGAATTGGTCAGCCCGAGGTAATGTATTGAATCAATATTTCAGCAACACTTCAATTGGAACGACAGTGATCTACCCGATGAACCATTTAATCTACCCTAAACCAGGACTTGTCGTGGTCACCACGGTTTCCTTTTCAAGCTGGGAGAGCCGGGTTCAATCCTTGGTCGGACCTCTATACTCAAGGTCTTAAACAATTGAGGAGAAAGAGCTACCAGTAAATGGTTAGACTTTCGCATCTTCTCTGATAAGGACGTCGATAACGTATAGGTACCTCGGATCACCTATCAATTGGGCAATAGCCTGTTGGTAAATCCGCTCACCAATGAGTGTCAGAGAAACTCGATACAAATAAACATGTTGTACTTAGTCTGAGTTGTGAGCAACCCAAGAAAACCAAAATTTTCGGTGTTGGTAAAGTCCAAATGGAAGCGCTCACGGCTCACCTGATATGTGATTAAGCCCGAGGCGAAGAATATCTATACTGCAGAATGGAATCCCGTCGGGGGTGCCACCAGGTACCACAATTACTCATGGAAGCTTTATTTTTATACAGGATGAAATATTTGACATGGTGAAGCCCAGTGATCCATATAAAATAACGTTGCAAGATCTTGTTAACAGGTATCGCTTCAGTGCAAGCATTGACCAAATAGCATGCATCCAAGTATATATAGAGAGAAAGACTTGGAGCAAGTCTACCAAGTATATAGCATCTTTGTATTTTTCTTTATGACTATTGGACATGCACTTCCACAAAACGTGACGATATTACCCTATAATACGAAGTCAAAACTAGGACTCGAACATTTCCATCCACAGAAACCTTTAACATTCAGTTTTATCAGTCGTCCCTGCTGAACCCACAAGTACATAAAAGCTTCACATGCATAATAGTGCAGCGGAAAAGTAAAAAATCATGCACTTTGTGAAGAAAGCACCCAATTCACAGGAAGTGTAGACTTTAACATGATAATGAATCTTAGATAGGAGGCATCACCAAAATTGATGCTGACGGCTTAAAATTTAGGATTTCTTATATTCTCTTATTAAACTTTATTACTGTTTAAAATTGTGAAATTGCAGGTTCACATATAGCAAAAATGACTCGCATGATTAGAAAGCTTACAAAAAACTACATATAAGACTTTTAAACGGCTGATTGATTTTCCAAGCGGTTTTCCAGTTATTAGACGGTTTTAGATAACAAGACGCGGACGTCAAGAGGACGTGAAAATGACGTATGCACCTCGCGTTCACTTCCGGGTTTTAATCTGGGACGGCTTGTTTGTCTTTTTCGAAGCAAATTTTTGCTTTCTTGTTACCTGTTCATTTCTGTATTGTTTTCAATCAGTTGTCAAGATATCTACAAGAAAAGGCTATATAATACTGGCCAAGTGTTTCCTGATGAATTAGTATGGACATTCAATAAGTTTTTTCAAGAAAAAAGTTATATTTCGGTCTTTTGAAAAGTGAACTTTGTTGCATCAATTGGAATAAATACAACAGCTGCAGGTATTGTTTACGAGCTAATTGTAGCCTATCCAATCAAGTTTGTCAACTGTTCAGTATAAATATAGCATCAGTGTTTATATTGGTAAAATTTAATACTGTTTACGATAGTTTTTCACGCTGGAAAGCGTTTTTTTGCTTGTCCTACTTTTTTGGCACTGTTGTGACAATTGATTGAGTTTTTACTGCTTTTAAGTGCTTTTATTTTTCTATTTTCCCACGTTTTCCTGATTTTAAACAGTTGTTAATATAACTTCAGTTTAGTTTGTTCTAAAATATTTGTTTTGGTGAAGATTACTAGCGGTATTGAAGTGGTTATTAACAATGCTTGCAGTTTTGTTGATTTGTTTATGGCGACCGAAAGTATTTGTCGAAAATCAACTCGTCTAAAATTTAGCGAAATACAAGAAAAACAACCTTGTCAACAGAAAAACTTTAGCTAGTATCATTAAACAATACATGGGGAACAAAATAGGATGATTTTCATTATGCATAGTCTCCTATTTTTTTCAAAAGAAGCAAAAATCTGTGACGTTCTAGAGAGGACCTGAAAATTGTATTTTCGCGTCGTGAAATCGTCCAAGACGACGTCGCAAACCAGAAGCTGACGATAGTTGGCGCCAAATGACGACATCAACGTCCTCTTGACGTCCGCGTCTTGTTATCTAAAACCGTCTATTGCTATTTAAAAACGTGATAAATAGGCAAAAATCCCGCCAAAGTCCTGGACACTAGCCCTAAAACATATTTTCAACCGCTCATAACTCCAGAGGAGTTGGAAAATCAAAGTAACTGCTTAAATGTCTTAGATGCAGTTTCAGTTTGTAAGCTTTCTAATGACGCATGTCATTTTTGCTATATGTGAACCTGCAATTTCACAATTTTTAATTGTATAAGAGATTCATAAGAGAATATAAGAAATCCTAAATTTTAAGCCGTCAGCATCAATTTTGGTGACGCCTCCATATCTAAGATTCATTATCATGTTAAAGTCTACACTTCCTGTGAATTTGGTGCTTTCTTCACAAAGTGCATGATTTTCTCAAATATCTGTGCATATCCGCTGGACTATACAGCGTGATTTGCACGTGCATTGGGCCTACAGAAGCTCCTTATTGGCCAATTTTAGCGTGTGATACGCGCGTGCGAATAAAAACCCGATATTTTGAAAAATTCAAAATAAATATTTCTACTGGCCGTATTCAAACAAAATTTTCTACGCGAAAGCGCTTGAATACAAGGAGTATTTTACTTCTATTGACTTGTGACAAATTCCGAAGAGTTCAAGAGATATTCAAGTTTTTCTCGATATGAAATACAGAATGTTTGGTCAAGCGGCAAGTAATTATGCGATTGTTTTAGTTTGTGTGATGTTATTACGGCATTTGACCCCCCCCCCTCCCCTCCCCGTTCGAAAGGTTATTTAATGAGGATTTCAACGGTGGGTTATTTTATGAGGATTTCAACGCAGAATAAAGATCTCGGCGCCAATACTTCTACTCAAACAGTCAAACTGTAGTTCGTACTACTCATGGCGCCTAGCAACTGTTCACTTAGTCGAACTCTCCGATATTTAGCGTCGATTTTCCTCCCAAGTTCAGCGCAACAGTCTTGTAAGACAGCTAAATCATTCATTGCAAATGCGGATTGAACCGTTTCGTGAATACTACTAGGACTGGAGGAGCAGACATTTCCGAATTTTCCGTAGATATCTTTAAATTGAATCTTTCGACAAAGCTACAAAATTACACTTCGTATGAGTGCGCACTCGGAACGACTTTACGGTCTTTACCACGCGTCAAATATTAATGGTATTCCAACTAATTGGACGCCCCTGACTTTTGTAAATCGGTCAGAACTCCCACAGATCAGTCAAAATCGAAAAAAATCGCTTGTTTCTATGAAAATGAGCGTCTAGACCAATCAGAACGCTGGATTTTGACTTTTTGACTGCCCAACTTTGTGTATGTCAACTGCTCCTTGACTTGACTAAGCTCGTCGGCTCAGCCACTGTATGAAATTTGATCACTGGATTACAGTTCGATTTGAATGTTAATTGTTAGCGCTGCATGATAATAGATACTGCACTGTTATAAGGTGTCGCTGCATGATAAAAAATAACTGGATTATTGGTCGAATATTTGAGACTTTAATTAATGAAATTTGCAGTTTTTACGTTAGTCGCGTGACTGCATGGTTTGACGACCCCTAGATCTGCCCCTGGACCGTTGGTTATCATTTATATCAATATATCATTGTGGTTCGATTCGAATAATCTAATTTTAATAGAAAATAATCTATAACTTCCTAGCAAGCCGCTTTTGAGTTTCTCTTTGTTTCATATCAATGTTTATATTGAATTAAATTAAAAATTGAATACAAGGACTGCTGCTTGCAAACAAATTCAAACCTTAATAATTAATTCATAATGTCATTTCGTGAAAACAGCTAAAAATTATAAAATCTGTCGTGAAGCTAGTCATAGCAAGTTAGCAAATGATACTGTAAAGGAAACAATGCAGTTTTATACACACTATGCATAATGCCCCAAATTATACAATTTGGCATCTGGCTACAAGCCTCGTTTTGACGAAACTCGTTTCCAGGTCCCGAGTTATTGTGCATATCATGTATGTATTGAAGAATATAGAATAAAACACTTTTCTAGGCCTGCTACTTCAAGTACTGCATACTTGCTATGCATAATGCACAAACAATGCAGAATACATAGTGCATGTGTATTCAATATCCAGATTTTTCCTTAACTCGCCTTATCTCGCCTTAACTCGCAAGGGTCAGTAGCCAGATTTTTCCTTAACTCGCCCTATCTCGCCTTCACTCGCATAGGCTCGCCTAATCTCGCGGCGAGTTAAGGTCCCAGAGTAGGCCTTGATTTCCAGTGAAATAAAGTATAGAAAATCCATAGACTTTTCGTGACCGGCTGGAATCGACTATTGCGTGATTGCCATGCATTCAACTGTAAGTGGTTTCCCTAATATATCCATACATGTCCAATATCACGATGGGTCACGGATCGTGAATATAGTTCACGATCCGTAACACATGGTGAAAGTGTGAAACAATCACGATGCAACACAGATCGTGAATATACTTCACGATCCGTAACACATGGTCAAACAATCACTATATGACAGTAATGCCACAGATCGTAAACGTACCTCACGATCTGTAACACATGGTAAAAAACCTCAAGCTGTGCTTGTTTACCTCCAACAATGCAACAAACACTAATCATGCAATTGATGCCCTGGCCACTAAATCCGTACGATCCGTGCACATCGTGCGTATGGTGAAAATAAACAGATATTTTCATCCTTATTACCTCACATACGTTTACATTTTCATATATCAATGTGGTTTGTTATTACTAACTTCTTATATGTTTACATCTTCATATATGAGTGTGTATGCTTCGTTCTCCAAAAGGCGAAAAAGAAATGAACATATATTTTCATTGACTGTTATTACTTATTACCTCATGAGTCATGTATATTAGACATTTTAAATTCTTAATATATGAATGCATGTGTATCCCTCGTTCTCCAAAAACCACAAATTTTCATTGCTATATAGTCCTGATATGTTTATTGTTTATGTCTAGTGCGGTTTGCCTCGCCGCATCGGCATTATACATTTAAATATTAAAGTTCACTCAAGCGGGATTTTAAGTTACGACGCCGAGTATCTGTCATCTAAATAAAGGCGACAGTTCCATTGCCCCTTTTCATTTAAATATTAAAGTTCACTGAAGCGGGATTTTAAGTTACGACGCAGTATCTGTCATTTAAAGGCGACAGTTCCATTGCTCCTTTTCATACTAGAGACGCATTATGCGTCTATGAACTTCGGCAAGCATTTATTAATATAATAAACAGATATTTTCATTCTTATTACTGCACATACGCGTTTACATTTTCTTTTATCAACGTGTTTTGTTATTACAATAGCTCATATATGCTTACTGACATCTTCATATATGAATGTGTTTGCTTCGTTCTCCAAGGCGAAAAAGGAATGAACATATATTTTCATTGTTATTACCTCATGTATATTATACATTCTAAATACTTAACATATCTATGCATGTGTATGCCTCGTTCTCCAAAAAAACACGAATAAACAGATATTCTCATTGTTATAAGAGAGACTATTTCCAGTCGTTTCTCTTTAATCTTTTCTTTAGAGCAGTTGAGAACGAAGGCCACAAAGTTGTTAATGTTACTCTCATCCCGTGAGTCTATATTCATTCCCATTATCATTCTGCATATATGTCATTCTGCTATCTAGCGAATGACCAACCGACATTATTTTGAAATTTATGTGCACCAGTGGCAGTTAATATTGCGAACAACCTTTTCACGGCAAATCTTCAAGCCACCCAACGTCTTATTTAACTCACTGCACAGCGCCTTTGAAAAGTGTGAAAAGCGATTGTCAGTGTTTTTTTAAAACGCCGCTCTTCCCCAAGGCGAGGTGGCATTTTAATTCTTAGCCTACTTCCACATAGCCTGCGGTGCAGACGCTTCGTATTTCATGATAAAACGGTTTAAACCCTTTCATCATGAAATACGAAGCGTCTGCACCGCAGGCTAACTTTCATAAGGCGCAAAACGGTAAAAGTATACGTGTAATTAAATGGTGATAAAAATCTGTGGTAATTTTCCCAAACTCAAAATAATGTATTTTATTTACAAACATGTAGTTCATAAATAAACAAATAAAATGAAGTGCTATTCACAATGTCAACTGGGTTCAGAATTTTTTCCCACAAATTTATTGCCCTTTACCCGGCCGAAAAAAGGTGTCAATTTACAAATTTGTCAACTGCTGCACAAAATTTGTGCACTTCGCCGGATGCAATTATGCCTAATCCCAATAAAATTAATAGGCAAAACAGTCATCAATCTGGTTCTGTTCACAGTGGGTATATGAAAATTAGCATGTGCCGTTTAGTTCAATATTTAGAAATAAGTTACTAGTCTTGTGAAATCCCGTGAAATGCAATACAAACATTTTATTATGATATAGAGCAGCCAGGTGAACATGCGATATTGACGGTTGGAACTTGCTTACAGAAGCCTGTACTCGTGAGGGTATTCAATTATATCCTATATAGGTTTTATTTGGTTAGATTCTAAATGAGAATAGCCTTGACATGTAGTTGCAACTCGCGCAGAAAGGCTTATTAATGAGTTATGAATATTTGCATATATACCATGACATACAGAATGTGTTTCATTATAAAAATTTAGGTTCAACAGATTAAGCAAAGATGCATCAACCTGTCAGCAAAAGATGACTGCATCTTTCTGAACACAAGAGTCTCCACTAAATTAGTCTGGATAATATAAACACAAATTTGCGCTAGCTTTGGCGTTTGCACACTGATTTTAAAACAAAAAGATTTCGTGTACTGTTTGCGGTCTCTAGTCTTGATATAGCCATTCTATTTGGCTGGCCAGTTAGAGAGTCAGTACAATTCGCGCAGAAATATATACGGCTTGTTGAATTATAACTATGACAGACCTATATAGCTACCGTATCAGCTGCAACCGCAATATCATATAAAATGATTCATGCATAATTAGATGTGTTACTATATTATAAAAATTTAGGTTCAACTGATTATAGAGTTTATAGCAAAGATGACTACATCTTCTTAACCTGTCAGCAAAAGATACTGCATCTTTCTGAACACAAGATTCTCCACTAAATTAGTCTTTATAATATAAACACAAATTTGCGCTAGCTTTGGCGTTTGCCTACCGATTTTAAAACAAATTAAAAGATTTCGTGCACTGTTTGCCGTTTGCGGTCTATTGATATATATATAATCAGTACAACTCGCGCAGAAATAAGGTTTGTTGAATTATAACCATGATAATAGCAGCAGCCGACTTTGCTCTGATAGCACTAATTCGAATGCCTTACTTGCCCCAAGCGTCGAGAACATAACATCTGTTGTGCCAGTTATAACGTATTCAGTCACCCCGGCAAAGAAACGGCGATGCGATACTTGGCGACCTTCGTCGTCTCGCAAGTCTTCAAGTTTGACCCGTTTAATCTCTGATGGAAAACACTTGAATGTTTTACTATAAAGAAGCGACTTATTGTATCAATTTGTATGCATACCAATTTTTCTTATCATATCACGTTGTGCGCAAACTTTCGCTTGAACATCGTCCATTGATGCGCCTCGAATGCTGTGTTGGCGTGCAATATTCGAATTTGGCGCGCGATTTTTGTTTGTATATGACAGGGCGCTATAAAACACGGGCGGTGAAACGGAGATAGCGCCCCTGATCTTTGTGTGATGCGCGTACCCCCCGTATACATTAATTTATATGTCAATAAAAATGGAATTGGAATGTTTGTGCAAAAAGAGCTGAAAAAAATAAAGTAAAATGTTTTCTGCACATTCCTAAACAAATTGATGGTTCGAAGACATTGTTGGATTCATTTTCTGTATATCTGATGAAGGAAAAAGTGCTTTAAAGATTCATCATGAGCGAAATAAAAATTTGAAAAGGAGTCGAGCTGATCGAATGTGGGCATATTCCAAATACGAAAATTTTGGTATGAAATGGGATATTTTACTTCATAGTGCGAAGGTAGGACAAACATTTTCACAGTAAGAATATTCTGACATTGCTTGGCTACTCTTTTTCAATAAACATATATATAGCCCAAAATTGACAGTGCATGCATTTAAAACAGGTAGAATTTGTCGGAAAAAAACAACTACAATTTCATTTTGTTCGACAATTTGAAAACTTAAATATATAATCGTTTTTTGTGTTAATCAGCCGGCCTGCTTGGAAATCCACTGAAAGTTCATTATAAAGTGTTTTTACTAATTGACGACATTGATTTGATTTCTATTATTGGAGTATAACTGCCGCCGACACTCCAAAAATATTCAGCGTGAATCTTTTTTCGTACGATTGTAGTCGTTGACACTGCAGTGACAGTGTTGCGGAAAACTATAAAGGCTTCAAAATATCTCCATTTTATGAAAAAAGCACAAAAAAGCACCGTTCAATTTTACGTGAGACATAAAGCCAAGTTAAATGTCTATAATTTGATGTGTTCAAATTTATCTCAACCTATCTCAACGAGGAGAAAACACTATTTTAAATACGTCCGCGCTTTGACAAAAAAGAACAAATGTCGTCAAACATCGAGTTCAAAATGCATATCTTTTCCTCAACAATCGCTTTGTTCATTTTGCATGTGAAATAAATATCAATTTTAACTATACAAGCTGATATTAGATCCTTCACTTAACGTTTATAGTATGTATTTGAAGCAGGAAGTGATTTCGTTCAAATGATAAATGAAAATTTGTGTTGTTTAAATATCGTCTTAATATGTGCATAAATATAGTACTCGCGAATCTATATTGTCGTGTGGTCCGTATACGGAAAACTATAAAGGCTGCAAGATATCTCCGTTTTATGAAAAAAGCACAAAAAAGCACCGTTCAATTTTATTTGAGACATAAAGCCAAGTTAAATGTCTATAGTTTGGTGTGTTCAAATTTATCTCAACCTATCTCAACGAGGAGAAAACACTATTTTAAACACGTCCGCGCTTTGAATTTTGCGAATATTTTCATCGCTCGAGTAAAATTTTTGCCCTGATATTTTCATTCACCGAGCGTTCAGTAAGAAACAACACAAGCTATTACACGTGATATAACTTATTAAATAATATTTCAAATTTTAATGAACGAAACATAATTACTTAGCATTTAAATCCTTTGTTTTCTCGTTTGCTTGTTTACATTTTTTTGTTGCCATCTTGTACGCGATTTTCTGATTTCTTTAGAGAAAGCGCGCTCGCGCCAATCCTAATGAGCATCACACGTAGCACGGTCATTTATTAGCGCGTTTCCCCGCCCGTGTTTTATAGCGCCCTGTATATGACGACCACAATTTGCACCGCGTAATATGAAGTCGAGATATTAAAGAAACTAATTCAGCAGTTAATATTAAAAGAGTTTTGTTTCAAAGATACTATTACAAATAAGTAGCAAGGTTCGATAATTAATAAATGTCATCAGTTCACCAACTTTGACACAAAACTATGGTTACCAATTAATCCTTTCACACATCGTGCGGATTCTCATGATCTGAAGCAATCTGTCGACGCTGACCAAAAATAGCGGCTCATTTCTTCTTGAGTTGCCATTTTCGCGTCGAAGAACAAAAATATAGACTTTCGGAGAATATTTTACCTGTTTTCGATCAAATATGTTTCTGAAACAGTTAATAATCTCACTGAAGAAGGCCAGCGGTTTCTGAAAAGCTAAAGTACGTCGAAATCAGCTTTGGAATAGACTATATTTTCACCGGGGAAACATGAACTAAATGGATATTTACATCAACACTACATTTTGCTCGTGCCTACAGAGCTAGTTGGATTAAAACAGATGTTAAGAGGTAAGTGAAAATATGAATTTTGTGAACTATACTTTCATTAAAGTGTTTCAGAAGGGCTGGTAATGTCAAACTACACGTGTGACGGAGCTCTTTATAGGATACCCATATTTCAAATGTTTTAATCGCACGATCGCCAAATTTTGATCCGAGTTTGATTTGTCAGTTTGATATCCATTCTCCACAAACCAAGGAAAAAATACTTCTACCGGTAATGTGTCTTTGTGAGAACGAAAGTTGTATATATAAATAAACATGCCGACTCGGTGCAGTGCAATGGACATTCATCATTTAAGAATACACAAATACAAACAAATATTTATTCTCAACGTGCAAATTGGATAATTCGCTGAATGCTCTCAATATTTATAAAGTTTACCAGAGCAGGTACGATCAAATTAAAATTATGTATTTTAAATTTGTATTCTCTGCCAACAAACAACAATAGTAGTTTATCGTAATTACCATCGTCACAGTTAAGTGTCTACTAGGTCAACAAATACTCTGTACAAATTATACGCGAAAGTTAATGTCGCCATAAAAACGCAGATAACAAAACACATGTGTATGTAAATATTTTTGTCTCCACTCATTTTCAACAAAAAGTACTACCATTTACCCATATTTTACCCTGTGGCACCATGTGTGTGATTCACAGATGGTGAAACAACTTTCACCATCTGTCAACCAATTCACCATACGCACCATCCCCACGGATCGTCAGTTTTTTGGGGTCTACCGTCTGGCACCATGTGCACCATTCACGGATCGTGAAACCACTTTCACCATC